AGTCAGACAGATTATAGACACCACACAAAAACTCACAGAATCAACTAACATGGCCTAATAGGAGCTCACAGAGAATCAACCGACAGCCAGGAAGCCTGCATGGGACTGACATAGGTTCTCTACATATATGTCACAATTGTGTATCTCGGTCTTCTTGGGGGACTCCTAACAGTGGGAGCAGGGTCTGTCTCCAATTATTTTACTGGCTTTTGAGACCCTACTTCTCATACTGAGTCACCTTACTCAGCCTTAATTCGTGGGGAGGTGTTTAGTCTTACTGCAACTTGATATGCCATGTTTTATTGATATCCATGGGAGACCTGCCCTTTCCTAAACAGAAATGGAGGAGGATAACATTAGTGGAAAGGGTGCCTGAACTGGCCTTCTCCTATAATCAGATTAGTGACTAGCCTAATTATCATCAAAGAGACTTCATCCAGTAACTGATGGAAGGAGATGCAGAGACCCACAGCCAAGCACTGGTCCCAGCTCAGGGAGTCCAAATGAAGAGAGGAAGAAGGGATTGTATGAGCAACAGGGGTCAAGATCATGACAGGGAACCCACAGAGACAGCTGACCTGAGCTAGTGGGAGCTCACAAACTCTGGACGACAGCTCAGGAACCTGCATGGGACCAACCTAGGCCCTCTGCATGTGGGTGACAGTTACACAGCTTGGTCTGTTTGTGAGGCCCCTAGCAATGGGATCAGGACCTGTCCCTGGTGGATGAACTGGCTTTTTTGAACCTATTCCCCATGATAGGATGCCTCACCCAGCTTTGATGCAGGAGGAGGAGCTTGGTCCTGTCTCAACTTGATATGCCATGCATTGTTGACTCCCATGGGAAACCTGCCCCTTTCTGAACAGAAGAGTGGATGGCACGGGAGATGGGAGGTGGGGAAAGGGAATGGGAAAAGAGGAGGGAAGAAAAACTGTGGTTGGTATGTAAAATAAATGAAATTGTTAATAGAAAAAGAAAAGAGAAATGGAGGAGTAGTGGATGATTGGGAGATGAGAACAGAGTGACAGAGTGAGAAGGACTGGGAGAAGTGGAGGGAGGGGAAACTGTGTCCAGAATGTGAAATAAATAATTTTTTAAAAATTATTAAATGGTGCTGGAGAGATGACTCAGAGGTTAAGAGAACCATCTGCTCTTCCAGAGGTCATGAGTTCAATTCCCAGCAACCACATGGTGGCTCACGACCACCTATAATGAGATCTGGTGTCCTCTTCTGGCATGCAGGCATGCATGTAAGCAAAACATAAATCTTTAAAAATTATTAAATGTAAATATGTGGAAATGAAAGTTCAAGCACTCAAATCTGATCTTGATGGCAGTAAAGATGACTCACCAATGTTTTAGGTTTTTTTTTTTTTAATACCATCTAATTACACTGAGTGTACATGGATCCATTCTCACTTAAGTGCAGAATTAGCATAAGTCAAATCAAAGCCTATTGATCATAAGCCTTAACCAAGAACCCTATCCACCCCTCTAGGGATAACCATTGTGTGGTGTGTGTTCATTCAGATTTTTCTTGCGTTTTGCATTTAGTAATTTGACTTTGTAAATGAATGTGACTTTACTATCTTTTCATTGTTTCACAGATGTTATACAGAATGAATCAAGGCCAGGAAATAAGATATATCACATTCAGGTAATGGAAGAAAATTTATAAAAGAAAAGATATTCAGAGTTTGGGCAGAGTTATGAGAACAAATAAAAGATGATAAAAGAATCATGGTTGACTAGAATGATGACTTCTTATACTAAGGGCAATGCCAGGGATGGCATACAAGATGCCTGATGTGCTGCCCACATAAACTGGAGATGAGGGACCCAAAATTGTGGACCACCAACCCTCTGTGAGTTCCCCTCCGGATCTTCTGCTTTGCATGCCTCTAGAGGACCAAGGCAGAATTGCCTATGTGTCCCGAGGTCATGCTTTATGGCATGCACATGTCACATTCTCCTCCATATAATTTACTTCTTGGGATCTTCATGTTCTGTGTTCCTAGACCAATGGTACTTTCTGTGAAATGGGATGGGAATGAAACAAATTTCACAGGAAATTATACAGAGATGATCACACAGGGTAGGGTCAAGGAAGTTATGCAGGTCATAGGAGAGAACCTGCAGCCTGGGGAAGTTTTTCAGGCTTGGATAAACTGTACCAAATGTGTGGTCAACTATATAGCACATGGTATGTTGTGTATCAGTGCACCAGACTCAATTTGGCCATGAGGAATAATTCAGTTTCTGAGGATATTCCAAGGGCATTGTGTAAAACTTGAAATCCTAAGGGGTATTGGCTGAAGACTGTGGATGGAGTAACATATAGATGGGATGACAAATGAGAAATGTGGGAATCTAGAATAGGAGGAAAATGGTGACCTCCACCAAGAAAGGGAGATGGCAACTTTAATCCAGATATTTTCATTCCTCCTGAAGGAGAGTAGAGACAATGTGGCAATGGTTGGAGTGATTGCTGCAAGTTTTATTGGGTTCCTAGATTGAAAAGAGCTGCCAGGAAAGGTGAGCTTCCTTTCATGGAAGCTCTGAAAGTTGGATTAGGTCTTGGAATTGTTGGCACAAGAAGGACAAAGTCGCTGACTTGCAGGGGCAGATCTCTTGTCTAAAGTCATTGTAGCCCAGTCATGGGCTTGGTGTTTGCAGAGGGCTGAGGAGGAACTTAGGCAGCTGCAGAGGTCTTTAAGTCAGAGCAGGCTATGTGAGAAGGAAATGACTGTCTGGTACATTAATCACTGTTCTTATTTTTACCTTTTTTTGTGAAATTGCATGTTGCTAGCCTCTGGGTGAAATGAAGATTATATAATCATTAAAGAATAAAAATAGATTGTGCTTGCTCTGGCGTTAAGCCTGGGATAGTTTCTGTGTTTAATCAAAGATGATGAAGAATATATTGGTGATTTTCTAAGCCTAACCTTTGGAATTATGAGAACACCCCATATTGGGTGATTTACCCTTTCCTTTCAGTTTCCCCTTGCTCATGAAAATAAAAGACTGAGGTTACCAAGGCAGAAGCAGAAGCGGTAGCAGAAGCTATAGCAGAAGCTGCTTAGCAACTGCAGAAGCCCAAAGTGACCTGTCAGCTTGCACAAACACTGTCTCTGAGTCATTACTATGCCTTCCAGGTATCCTGTCCTTTGGACCCCCGAAACTGCTGAGGCTGATCCCCGGCAGGGCAACAGGTCTAAGAGAAAAAGAGAGACTTGAACCACCACAAGTAAAATGTGTAGCTACAGAGCTGAGTAAACAACTTGGAGCTGTTAGCAAGAGTGGCACAGTTGCTTCTGTAGCTACCACATTGGAGGGCACCCATTAGCCAGACTGGAGTATCCCCCCAGTAGCACTGTAACTCTACCTACCAAACTATTCCAAGTTTTCAAGTCACTGGTTTATAAGAAATGAAGCATGTGGGTTGACTAGTTAGCTCCATGTGTTGTGAGCTCATTATTACATTTTATCTGCTATAAAAAGTGTCCTATGGTTCAATGCAATGTTATTTGAATAACATAAAAATTAATAAAAATATTTTTAATGCACAAATGATAGGACTGGCACCAATCACTCAAAGCTTTCTTAGTAAAGTACAACCAACATAAGGATATACAGTAAGTGATTACTTATATGAACAAGACTTTACACAATAAGGAAGTCATTCGGCAGTGCAGGGAAGTCTGATCCCAATTAACCTTATCCTGTGCCTCAAGCCAGTGAACTAGTATAACGGAAATGAAAATGTCATGTAGTGAAGAGCAAGGATTCTGTGTTTACACTGAGTGTAATTACAGTGTGTCTGTCTCGGTGCACCAAATTTAATGATGCAGATGATTGCTTGCCTTGTGACTTTCATCACAGTGGTGTTATACCTGCAAATGACTGGGACCTGGAGGAACTGAAATGTGAGATCTATAAAGGACAGAAAATCTTCAGAGATGGTTTTACTGCCATATCACAGAGTACTGTTAGCAACACATGCAGCATCTTAGTACCTACTATCCACCAACTCACAAAGTGAATTGTGTGTTGCTCCAATTCTTCCTTTCAAATATCACACAATTTTTTCCTGAGTTTCACATTAGTGGGGGAAATATACTAAGAAAAAAGAAATAGGAAATAAAAATGAATAGAAATTGAATGTGTTTGAATATAATAATGCTAATCTGATAGAAAAATCATGTTTTCTTAGTTACTTGTTGATATTCCAAATGGTTCTCAAATCTTCTATACAAAATATGCATTCATTATACTCCCGTGGTGTTCTCCTGATTTGAACCCCCTTCCACAGAAGAAAAACTCCAAATGGATAATGTGTACAAACTATAGGAGACAGACAAATGGCTCAGTAGACTAATCCTTTATAAGCACACCAGTAAATACATCCAGAAATTCCTGCATGTGAGACAATGTATAGTTTGATAGATTATCCAAACTTAAGATGATTCTAATCCCTAAACACATACACATATGAGCAACATTAAATGGATTCAGCATTATATATTTAATATATATTTACTTATGTATATATAATTAAAGAAGTCATAAATAAGAGAAGGAATGAAAGAGGCCAGGGATGAAATTATCTGAATACAATATTCATGTAATAAATTCTCAAAATATAAAAAAAAAATATAAAAGAAGAAAGAGAGAAATAAAAAAAAAATATAAAAGAAGAAAGAGAGAAAGTTTTCTTGTTCTAAAGGCGTTAAGCATCAGTTATTTCAAATAAAGATTATTCCTTAGGAATGTAAGTTCAAGATTATTATAATCTTTGCTTTATAAATATATGTAATTCTCTGTTTTCAGGAGAGATTGTTAATCCTGAATAAGCAGGTGAATATATAAATACAGAGAGAGGGATATAGATATATACATAATTTATATACATATATGTGTATGAAACATATATACATATATGCAAAGATTTTTGGGGTTGATGAGCAGCAAGCTTCTACATTCATTGAAGGTACATCTAGTTAAGAAGCTTTCCTATCACTAACTAGCTGTCTGCATACTCTCTTCATTGCAACCTTCATTTCTTGATTTCTGAATGTGTAGATCACAGGATTCAGAAAAGGAGTAACAACTGCATCAAATATAGCCAGAAATTTATCCAGGTGTGTAGAAGGAGAAGGCCAGGTATAGAAGAATATCAAAGGACCAAAGAATAAGACCACCACAGAGATATGAGCTGAAAGTGTGGACAGAGCTTTGGAGGAACCACTTGAAGAGTGTTTTTGTACAGTGATTATGATGACAATATAGGAAATGATCAGTATGATGAAGGAGCCCACAGAGATGAATCCACTATTGGCTGTGACCATGAATTCCAGTTGGTAAGTGTCTATGCAGGCAAGTTTGATAAAACGAGGAAGGTCACAGTAGAAGCTGTCCAACACATTTGGTCCACAGAAAGGTAAGTCAACTACAAAAGCCAATTGAACCAGAGAGTGTATAAGGCCAACCACCCAGGCAGCCACTAAAAACAAGATGCACATCCTTGGGCTCATAATGGTCAGATAATGGAGAGGCTTACATATGGCCACATATCTGTCAAAAGCCATGGCTATGAGCAGCACCATCTCCACACCACCAATGACATGGATGAAGAAGATCTGAGTGACACAACCTCTAAAGGAGATGACTTTGTGTTTTCTGAATAAGTCATAAATCATCTTGGGAGAAGTAACAGAAGAAACACCCAAGTCAATGAAGGAGAGGTTAGCCAACAGAAAGTACATTGGAGAGTGTAAGTGAGGGTCAGATGCCACAGTAAACACAATGAGGCAGTTTCCCATCATGCTTGCCACATAAAAAGTAGAGGAGAACACAAAGAGCAATAGTTGAATACTCCAGGAGTTGGTGAGTCCCAGGAACACAAACTCTGACACCACAGACTGATTCACTCCTTCCATTGGCTTTTTTGACAGTGCTACCTGAGAGAGGAAACAAGAGAAACTATAAATTAAAACTGTATTAATGTAAAGTCCTGCATATATATAAATATGTGCTGAGCATCACTTATCATCAGAGGATCATAACTTCAAACTACAGTAAAATATCACCTTACAGTTTCCAAAGATAACAAGAGAAGGTGCATGGGAAGTGTTGGGGGAGAAGAGGAAGAAGAAATGAGGTAATTGTGTTTTAAAAGCTTGAAATATTTTTAAGAGACAAGTTTGGGTTGATTTTAAAATCTTGATGTGAATATAAATTAGTATATTTATTCAGGAAGACAAAAAATCTTGAAGGTACTTCAAAAATTTAAAATACAGACTGACTTTGTAGCCCAATGAATTAAAACTACAATGAGTAAGGTCCTGTGTTTGATCCTCAACACCACAAGTGATAAAGAGGTTGTAGGTCGAGAAATAAAAGGTAGAAGAAAAAAAGGAAAAGATTAAAAACTGGAAATATCAGGCTAGGGAGATGGCTTGATTAATCAGAACATTTGCTGTGCAATCGTGAGGACCTGTGCTCAGATCCCAGCATCCAAACAAGAAGCTAATTATGGCTGTGTGTGTCTGTACCCACAGTGTTGTGAAAGATGGAAAAAGAAGGATCACTTGAGCTTGGGGAATGCCAGACTAGATCCAAGCTCAGAATGAGACCCTGTTTCAAATGAATCAAGTGGAGAATGAGAGAGCAGGACCCAGGACATTGTCATCTGGCCTCTAACACAGATAGGTCTGTGTTACTATGTGTGTGCATGTACACCTACATACACACAACATGCACACACATATGCACATGTACATACACACACATAGAGTGTACAAAGACCATACTCATATATACCACAATCACACATACACAGAAAAATAATTATAAAATTATTTTTTATTTAAATATAGAAATATCATATGATATAGCACTTCTAATTTGAAGAATATATATCCAGAAGTAGCATTCACAAACAAAGCCTGATATAGGTAAATAAGATGTGCTAAATGATAGATGAGTGGATAAAGCACACACTGACACACATAGACTATTCTTTGCCCCACTTCAAAGAAGAGGAATCCCTTTTTCCTTTTAATATGAACAAGAAGTCACTGTGATAACTGAAATTAAAGAGACATGGAAAGTCAAATTCTGAAATACCTTGGTCAGAGTGGACTCTGACGACTCTACGCTCATAGAAGCAGAAAGTCTAACAATGGATCATGAGCAAATGGGATGGTGTAGAAAGGTGAAAAAGATATTTGTCAAAAGGGAAAATACACAATTAGACAAGATGGGTAGTTTCTGGAGATTCATGGCACAGTGTGGCAACTGTTAAAAACAATAGTGCCTACATGAAAATTAGTAGGGATAGAACTTCACCATTCATATTCCAAATCAGTATGGGTGGCAAATATGCTAGTTAGCTTGACTTAATCAACTTACAACATTCACATATATTTTATGTTTTTACATTTTTATATTTTAATATATTCACATATATAAAATATCAAACTATACACTATCAATATGTACAGCATCTATTTGTTGATTTGCTTTCATAAAACTGGCGGAGGAAAGGTTCCCTTTTATGCTCATGTAATTTGAAATTGTAATTATTCAAAGAAGAGTGAATTCAGAGATGTTCTTCATAAGGTGGAAGATTAACCAACACTAAAGAGAACAATTCATTGCCAAGTTCATTACACTTTCATTTAAAGATTAATATATTATCAGTTCAATTACAAAATAAGAAACTACTCACTGTTTGTTTTTTTTTAACTATCCATGTTGATATCCATGGCAAACACTACAGACCTGATTCTGACATACAGTCCTTTACTTATAACTTCTCATCTCTGGAAAATATTTAACCTCAAGGTTTATGGAATGTTTCTCCTTATCATGAAGTCTTGCTTTTATAGCATTAACATTAATGTACTGTCCTTTAATTGAGTTAACTGGACATGAAACTAACTCCCCAAATAGCAGTAGACTGATATATATTTGCATTCTGTGTAACCCATTTGTATCATATCAGGTACACAAATTGTGTCAAGAAATTTTTCTAGCAGTTGACATCATGACAAAATTAAGCATCCAAACTCAACATTCTTGCAGAGTATCAGCCTTTGAAGTACTGGGAATGATATGAAACACTGCCCTGAGGATATTCCAAATGACCTGAATCCTCTGCAAGATGATATCCTTTAATAGTAACTATATGTTCATCTCATTGGAAAATGGGTTGTCACATTATACTGTGGGGTTTTATTTTATTTAAAGAATTAGCATCGGATAATAGACAGGATTTGGCTTTTGATTCAAAAACCAAGATTAATGCCATGCTTTAACTACTGATAGTTTAATATTAGGCAAAATACTTAAAAATCTGAGAGTTGATATTACTTATATTTACTAAAAAGCTAAAATATTGATTTATATTTAACTATCAGACTAAAATAAATACCATAACCATATACTTAATAAGTATCCAAATGTGAGTCTTCAATAAATGTTATCATTTTAGTTCCTTTTGCTTGTCCATAACAGAGTCAAACGCTTGAGACAAAGTAATTTAAAAAGTGAATGCCAGTTAGCAGAAGGCACCAAAAATACAGGTCCACAATATATTAACTCTCTTTTTTAATAATATATTTTAATACCCATAGTTATTGTCTGACCAATAAATGAAATTTCAAATGTAAACTTAGTTCATTTGCTCTCAAAGAACAGTTGATCTGTATCTACTACTCATTAAAAATATATTCATTAAACCCTCCTCAATTAGATACCAACCTGTAAGGTTTAATCCTACATCTGTTTTCCTGTCTACTCATCCCAAACCTTTGAAGCAGAAAAACTTTAAAATAGGGACAAACAAATATTTGCTAAAAGATGTTCTTTATTGATTAAAAAATTTACATGTGGCTATGTAGTTTAATGAGATAGTCTGGGCAGAATTCTGAAGCAACACAGCAAACTAAAGAAAAAATAAGATTGTTAAAACTGAAGAATTGAGAATGAATAAATGAGAATAAAGTCAAACATTACAATGATCGCACTTGTCTAAATAGCTTTTTGCAATACCTTTGTATTATTGATTCTCTTTCTCACATTCTACCGCCCCTACTTGACAAAAATTTTAACCCTTCCCCATTTTTATAGTTTAGAAACAAAATTAATATCAGCACTGTTTACATTCTTTAGAATAAAGCAAGAAAAATAAATCTAACTCCTGGTACCTTCAGGTATTATTAGGTTCTGAAATTGCTCTCATCTTGCTGAAAAATGACATTACATAGGATAGTCAGCTTTCAGCATTGGGTCTTGTATTCTCCATGTTAAAAATTATTTTCTACTCAGGAATACATGAGACACTTTCATCTTGGAAACTCAAAAAGTACCTAATACATTTGCTTCTATTTCACAGAAAATGGTAAGTTTATACTCATCTCTTTTAAAAAGACAATAGAAAGGACAACTCTTGTCATTTTATTTGTATGTGTTATCAAACTATTTTTGTCATTAATAAGAGATTAGATCCTCATTTGTGAGCTGAAATAGTTGATTAATGCATAAATTTCACACAAAACATCACAAAGTTTTTGGCATTTTCCAGTAATATTTATATTCCCCTATGTATAATGTGGTCCTAGCTCATTATAGGAGGCAATCAGATGTTTAGCTTTATCCAATATTTTAATAAACAGCTTTTATTTGATTTTTAAGATTATGATATAATTACATCATTTCTCCCTTCCCTTCCCCCCTCCAAATCACCCCATACACCCCTCCTTGATCTCTTTCCAATCAAATTCAATGCCTCTTTATACATTGATTATTGTTACAATATTCTATGTTGTTCAATTCCTTTTCTTTACTGTGCTCTACTTTGCTCTAGACTTCCTCAAGCATTGTAGAATGCAACTCATGTCCACAGCAATCCCAATCACAAGCTAACATCTGTGAATAATCAACTTATGTTCTGTTAAATTTATTTCCATCTATCTATTTTACCTGAATGATAACAACAGCATCTTGTCTGAGTCGGGTTTCCCTGTGTCCTCTCACATAAAGTAGCATGTGGAATCTTCCATTAGGAATATATGAAGTTAATTATATACACCTTGAAGGCCACTGACCAAGAGACACTGCAAAAGCATGGCAGCTTCGAAGGAGCTCATGATTACAGAATTTTTCTCTAGAGGATTATTTGTTTCGGTCAATGTGGTAAAGAACTCTGAAACTCAGATACTACAAAGAAAGAGGGAAATAAAAGTGGAATTGTTTTGTTCTCATTAAGCTACTTGGATACAATAATTGATAATTACTCGTTGCAATTATTCCTTGCTTTAAGATAAATAGTTTCTCAAAATTAACTACAAATAATCAATGGATTAGAAATATGCTAGGCCAATGAGTTGGCTCAATGGATAAAAGCACTTAACATCAAGCCTGAGGACCTGAGTTCAACCCCTGAAACTAATGTGTGGAAGAAGAGAACTGACTCCTAAGAGTTGACTCCATCTCCAAAAATAAACACTAACTATGAAAAATTTTTAACCTCATAACTTCATTGTTTTGGTGCTGAATAAAATTTATTTGTGTATATGTACCACATTCTCATTATTTATTCATCAGATAATCTGTAAATTATTTCATTTTCTAGTTATTATGAATAGAACAGCAAAAAAGTGTATATATAAATCTATTTTCAGTAGAATATAGTCTGTGGTCATTTGAATAAGAATATCTGCATATGCTCAAATGTTTGAATATTTGGTCCCCAGTTAGTGGAACTGTTTGGGTAGGTTTTTGGAAGTGTGCCCTACCCCATAGAAGTATGTTACTGTGATGGACACTGACAGTTCAAAGCTCTGCACCATTCCCAGTGCTCTGTTTTGTGCTTACAGTAAGAGATGTAAGCTCTAGTTCCAGTCACCATGCTTCTGCTCTGCCATCATGGATG